AAGCAGTGGTATCAACGCAGAGTACTGATCGAAGTTTAGGAAGATGACAAAAAGCGTTAAGGATGGCTTCCGCTCCCAATGGGGCCACTAGATGTGCAGTCTGCATGATCCCTCCCTTTTCGTAGATTTATTGATGACTCACGTTTTTTACATGTTGACGTCAGCTATGAAGCGAGAAATGCGGGTTTGTTTTATGGTAATGTGCGCAATTTCACGCCATCCCAGTATACCGGCTTTGTTTTTGTAAAACTGAGAACAGCTTTACTTTTACTAAGTTCGTTAAAGGAGTGTCTCACCAAAGTTGAGGTCGCGCGGATCTTCACATATTCTATTATAGAGACCTCTAAGTAGGCCATTGCAACAAGTCCCACTCAATTTGACCCCTTCCACGATGAGAAAAATTCGCTCAAAGTGGGACGCGGAGAGCGACTTGGTACCAGGGTCAAGCGTGTCGATGCGATCCGAGACCCCCATTTACGACCCCCCCCCCTGAGGGTACCCATCCGTACGACCCCCGCCCATCTACTCCCCCTCCCCATCTACCCCCTTAGTTCTCCTGCCCACACTCCTCGCGGTAACCTGCATAAACGAATGTCAGTCTCAAAAAAACATCAGCGTGGAACTTCAGTGAGGTTTCGGAAGCACACTTTCTAGGCCAATGGGTGCGCCCAGCATCTCTAGCACACATACACACCTTCAATAATGTTTGAGATTCTGCAATTTTTTTTTGAATTTACAGACATACTTCAGACCAGCAAATTCGATTCCCATATGCGATACAAATTTTTGTACGGAGAAAAAATGACATTTTTGAACTATAAAAATTTTTCGACTAAGAAGCTTACTTCCTACCTCTTCCACAGTTTTCTCCCGCGAAAAAAAACCGCTTTAGCGCCGTCCAGAACGATGTCAAAAACGTGCATGAGCACGGTAGTTTGAAAATTCGTAACTAAGGCCAGGAAAAGATCGAGAGGCTGCAAAGCACAGATTCTGTAGAATGGTGCCCAAACTATTCAAAGAAAAAGTTTCAGCTTTTGAGGAGCAGTAAACTCGAAAATTTAGATGCGATCTCGCAAATTTAGATGCGATCCTAAAAAGCAAAAACTGGGATTTTTGAGCTTAAAATTTTGTAACTCATCGGAGAAGTAATAAAACGGCCTAAAATTTTTAGGATAGAAAGCAGGAGGATGGCCTCGTATTATAGCAAAATTGCAGCCAACAAGCTTTAATAGCTTCGGAAAAGTTTAGATGCGACCCGGATACGACCCCCCCCCCCCCTTTTGTCATTTTTGCCACATACATGAAATCATAAGAAAATCCGAAGGCCATAAAGTAGGACCAAATTTTGCACAAGTGTAGTAAAGCACCTCCTAAGCACACATAAATTGTAAGGACGTATGGAAAGCATTACAAACAGATTTACAAATTATTGATAATTAGCGTTGATAGAGATATGCGCTTTTGTCGAGCGTGCGAGTCTTCAGTGAGCCTTCGGAAGCAGGATGTCTACATCAATCGGTACATCCAACATCTTTATCATCTTTATCTTTATCATCTTTAGTATCACTTGAGCTTCCAAAAGGCTTAGTTTTTAATTTTAGTCATGCCAGCAGGGTTCGATCCCCGTTTGCGACAATATTTTGCGGGAGAAATAGTGATTCCCACAGAAAAAAATGAGCTAACAAGGGAATGGTCAGAAGTCGAAGTGGCCAAACCAAACAAGCTGTATATCATTCGATGCAGTATAAAACGCTGACTTCGAACCTGTCTTCCTTACCTGCTTCCCGCTTCTGTGGACGAAGCTACAAGCGGTTTTATTGTGAAAAAAATCATACATAAAAACAGCGAAATTGAGCACATTGTTGCACATTTAGCACGGCTTCTGGCTTCAAAAATTTTAAGTAAGCTAGCTGCATGTTTTGGCACAGTATTGAGGCGAACGAGGCTTTGTACGGCTAAATTTTTAATTTCACGCATAATTTCCAAGCAAAATAATGGTCGCTAATGGCTTATAACTTCGTCCAGAAAAGCGATAAGCAGATAAAGAAGACAGATGCAGAGTCAGCGCTTCATGCTGCATCTAACGCTACGCAGCTTGTCTAGAATGGCCACTTCGATTTCTGACCATTCCCTTGTAAGTCATAATCTTTCAAAAGGGCAGCAAATGAAGCGAATTTCTACGTTTGCAATGTTTTCAAATTACTGTTCACGTTTCATTTGATACATTGGACACGGCATTCCATGAATTTATTGTTAAGAACATGTAATAATTATTTGCCTTCTGATTTCCTTCCATGCTTACGAATTCTCAATCCAAACTATTTCCTTTTAGGACCTCCCCCCACCGTAGGTAACAGTTGCATCACACGCTTGACCCTGCTTGGTACGCGCGGACGACTCCTTCGGTCTCCTCCCTTACGCGTTTGAACATGTCCCTCCACCTGGCATCCACCCCCCCCCCCCCCGCCTCTGTTGTTGCCATTGGGCTGAGGCTGAAGTTGGAAAACATAACTCGTCCATGTTGCTTCGCGGGGCCTCCAGAAAACGGGGTTTTTGGGAACTTCGTGCGATTTTAAGCCCAAGCAGTGCTAGACAGGGTTCGACAGACTTGCAAAATGTAAAAATCTCGGCAACTAAAATTAGGTGAGACACTGCCTTTAAGATCTCAGATCCATGAGCTTGTTGTCTTCCTTCATAGCTTCACGCGCACGACGATAATTAGAACTTGTGCTCAACGACTTCTCGAGTAACATGTCAGCAAGGCAGATCATAATTATGAGCGCCTTTGTAAATTTTGGCGATTCCAGCGCAGACTTGTAGGTAGCCTGTACTTCAGATTTTTTTAGTCAACTGCAAAATTGTTGTGGTTGAACAGATGTTTCGAATTGCTGACGATACTTTGTGATCAAGGTGGTATTAATAAAATTGTAAAATGTATAAATTTCAAATTTGTATTGAATCGGGTAGCATGTGATCAAGTATGGAGCGGAGCTTTTGACATCGCACTTTCAATGCTAACATGCTATTCGTACCACACTAATAAAGACCCCCAAGCTGAGTTAGTCAGTTGAGATCTGCTATGATACCACAAATCCATTTCTACAAAAACTTAAAGACAGTGTCTCAGCAGCCTTGGCTTAATCGTTCGGTGTTAAGAATATTATGGAACAAGTTCTGAGCGCGATCCGAGTATCAGAAGTTCAACGCTAGCTGTAGATATTCGGTCTTGGTTATCCAAGTTATTCCTTAAGCTCATGTCGATCAAGCTGATGGGTTCTTCCTAGGTCGACATTGCCTACCCTGCTGTACATTTCTTATCAGAAGAGGTTGATATTGCCTAAGGTCTCTACGAGCAGTGGTGATGTTGCGTCAAGGTCTTTTTCCCTTTAATAATGATGACTTCACACTGATAAATAACCCCTGATCGGTAAAATTTATTGAGCAGACTAGCTACGGAATGACCAAAGGAAGGCATTTTACGCATGCGGGCGCTCCATTCGTGTAAGGTAAGCTTGGCATTCAGCGTTGAACACAGTACCAAAATTCTTCCATGCCTCTTTTTGTTCTGCAGTCAAAGCTGGTCCTTTGCTTTCTAGGAATCCTACCCAGTAATCCCAGAATGGCTAAAAAAGAGCGGTTTGGAACAGCTTTAATTGAGCTAGGAAAATAGTTGAAGAATTTAATGTAGACGTTACCTTCCAAAGTGCAGGATCAATTGATCTATCGAAATGCTCATACATGACTCTGCGCACAAATGATCGATACACCGATTCCTGAAAAACTTTAAAGTGTTCGAAAATAACTGAACAGAAAATCTCTATACCTACATTTTCACAGACATTAGCCAGGACGTGCACGAACAAGAGTATAGCGTCTCCCAATTTGTCAAATCTGCAAAAAGTACGTATGCTCAGGAAGGGCAAACCTTCATTAATACCTCTCGCTCTTTTCCACATCATCACCAGTGTAGTTCTCAGCACCTTTGTAGAAGTGACGATGTTCAGGATGAGAGGTGAAGAAACTAAAAGCAACGCTTCTTTCGCAAAACAGACCTGCTCATAACGAACTATTTGTAGAAATCTCTTCCGTGATGGCCATCACCAAGTGGAGCCACCTTGAGAGATTCGACGGTGTGCCTTCTGACGTCAGCGGGCTTCCTTAATGAGCAATAATGACATAATGCGTATAACGCATTAGAAATGGAAACAAAACATGTGCGGAGATGAGCTGTGACTGTACGGAATTTAGAGGAGTAGGAGAGGCAAGAAAATGTCACCTACTCCCCTGTCATACATGAAAGTAGCATTTTTTAAGCATTTAATTTTTTCAATTTAAAGAAAAAAGTACCAACCCACAATACAATTTATATTACCTACCCAAACTGCAAACAGAGCATTTTAATGTGCACAACTGAAAATTTTCAGAGATCAAGAACTTACATCACGCACAGCAAGCAAGTGGTGCTGAAAAAAAGTAGGTAGAAGCTTTTAAACGTCTATCTCCAGCAGCACGGACGAAAATTCTAGATTAAGCTGATGTTTGGGAATTCAAGAGTCAGAATGACAACAATTCGAATTTCTTTTGTGCGATGTTCGTGATTCATATGTCTTTCTTGGATGTTCAGTGGTCAGCAAAGACAGAGTTAAGATGCGTCTGGGTGGATGTCTATCAGCTAGAAATGCCATTTTCACATATCAGGAGTCCCAGTCCCGAAAAATGACAAAAGAACGTTGCTCTACTACAAGCAAGTCAGTAGCTAGAAATTACTTTTATCTGAATATGCGCACTTGTGAGAAACCCTTGATATGCATCTTTTCCATACTTCAACAACTATTGACAACGGTATTTGTCAGGAATTGTTTGCAACGTCCATACAAATGTACGAGATTAGGCCACTTAAAGGTTCTGCTCAACACAACAGCATCTATAGGAACAGAGGAGGAAAGCAAGTTTTCAGATTTGTAGAGGTGTTTGTTTGATTTTAAAGGCAGAAAATGCTTCCACATGTTGAATCTGCTTCAGCACCATATTTATAGCTTAACAAGAGCGCATATATGATGGGGTGCACGCTCCAGACGGATAATCTCTAACTGCTGTAAAATCCGCTTCCTGCTAATTTCTGCGTAGGACGTGACAACTGCACAGAGTTGGAAACTTTGCTAGAATATTGCAGATTTTAAAAAGAAGGAAGAGCTTGGCAAAAATGAGGTTTATGATTCAACTACAGCGATATCTGGATCGGTAATATATCGCTTACGGGATCAGACATAAATGTGTAGATAGTTTCGCTAAAAGATACAACAGAGTACCTCTTTGCTCAGTTTGGTGCAAAAACTTACTCAAGTGTGGTTCTCTTTTATATTGTAAGGAACTTAGTATAACTCAATTAGCTTGCTTTATAGCCTTAAGGCTCTTATCGCTGGACTATTATTAAGGAATGTATTCTGCCCCATCGTTTGCTACTGATGTTTGATCATTGTAAAGCTCGCAAACTCCTCATTAAGGATAAATGTCCTTGATAGCAGCTTTTTTCTGAAAGGGTTGAAAAAAGATTGTTTTAGGTATGTTCAATGGTTTTTAGAGCAAAATCGGTAAACGGTACTTCAATAATTGAGCTTGCTAAACGAATATAAGCGACGCAGTTGAAGAAGCTGCAGCAATCCATTCCACTAAGATTTTTTTGTTACTAATCTAGGAATCTCCTCTCAAAAATAATTGTTTTGCAAGCGAACTACAAATTACAACAAGCAATCTTCGAATTTCTCACTTGCACACATCTTCAGCAACACTGATGGTTTAGTTTCATTATTACATTTGTTGTTGCAGTTCACTTGAGAACATATAATTTGAAAGTAGTTGTTAACGGACGTAGAATTTTTGTAATATTGCTTGCAGAAGTTCTCATCTACCGGATAATGTAAGTTTATTGAAATCTCTGCTGTTTTGCTTGAGCACTCGGTGAAATAAAATTGCTTAGAATAGACTCTTGATCTTTCCTGCTTACAATTCGTCTGAGATTGCTTTAATTACGCAAGCATCACTAAGTTACAACCAGTTTCGAACGAATGGATTTGCCGAAAGGAATCGCCGATGACAAACGCTGCACCAACAAAATGCCTACGCCGAACGTCTTTTTTATGACAATCATTGCAACAAGATTTTTTCCGCTTTTTGTCCATGACTAACGTTGCAACAAAATTTCCAACAAAAACGTCTGCTTACGGTGAACGCTTTTTTCAATGACAGCACGCTATACAACTTCGCAGTGCAGTCTCTCCCTCTGCTGCAACAGAGGAGTTCCCTTGATTAATCGCGCTTCGTTCCAGAGCTTATACCCAAAAACAGTTACAAAACAGTTTGTAAACATCTTTTTTCGCAGTTTTTCGTACTTTTTCTTATGATACATTATGCACTTGAGCGAGATCAGTACCTAATTTACGCTTGCTTGAATTTCATCATCACACCTTTTCACCCACTCCCCGATTTGCATTCAAGCTTGAGAGAAGCAGGCCTTTGGTTACAAGAAAATACCGAACATTCTGAGTTTCGTGATTTGGGCATACCAAGTCGAGTCACTTGCTTTTTCCACAACCAAGTTTATGAATGAGCGGCTGTGGAGAACTTGGTTTTCACGCTCAGCATGCAATAGACTTCTTCAAATCTCATCAAAAGTTGTTTTTAAGCTTCAGACCTTTTCAGGCAACCAACCGAGGTCACTAAACATACTGTCGCATCACTCCGAGCAGCTCCTGTCGGAGATGGCCACCATGGAAGGGATTTCTACAAATAGTCAGAAATGAGAAATTGAAAGTGCACAAAATTCAGAATCAATTTTAGTTTCTTTGAAACCCACCCTGAACATCGTCACTTCTACAAGGGAGCTGAAAATTACAGTGGTAAAGATGTGTTAAAGAGCGAGAGGTTTGTGAGGAAAAGTTGAGTAAACTCTCACTCCTGTCTTTTTCTACAGATTTGACAAGCTGGGAGATGCCATACTGCTTTTCGTGCACGTTCTAGCCAACACTTATGAAAATGTAAGACCTATGCAGATTGGATGATTATTCAGATTATTCATAGAACAATGTTTTTGCAGGAATCCGTTTTTCGCGCTTTTGTCCATAGAGTGATGATTGAGCATTTCACGAGAAACATTGATCCTAAACTCTGGAAGGTTAGGATACTATTTCTATTGTCAGTAATGTATCAAATTAAGCGTATTTTTCTTAGCCTTTCTGGGAGTTCTGGACCGGTTACTTGAACAGCAAGGGAGCAAATCTTTCTGCTGAACAGCAGACAGCGTGGGATATTTTGGGCACGAGATTCAACGAGGAAGCCCAATCATATCTGGCCAAAGTTGGACGCAACCACGCTTAGACTCAATTGTAATTTGATGCAGTGGATATCTGCTACGAATGAATAAATTTTTGGCTATTTTCCAAGTCCCGTTTTCATGAAACCTTGGCATGTGTCGTAAGTTCAAATTTCTTTTGTGCCGTACAGGTTTGAGAAGCGGTCTTTATTTCTTCTAATCACGGCCTTACGTTTCGACGCCTTTCGTCTTCCTCAGAGGCCGGAAGACCACTGCAGCTCGAGTAGTCTGCACCGGAAAGCGTCTGCCGCGACTGCCTTTTTCCGGTGCAGATTACTCGACTTGCAGTGATCTTCCGGCCTCTGAGGAAGACGAAAGGCGTCGAAACGTGAGGCCGTGATTGGAAGGAATAAAGTCCACTTCTCAAACCTGTACGGCACAGAAGAAATTTGAATTTTTGGCTATCTTTTCTCCAAGCATGCGAGTAGGGTATTAACAACATATTTGATTCAACGGGATTGGCGGCTGAAAGACGAACGCTCGCGTCCGTGACGCAGTCTGCATCTCACTTCTGAACGTGCTCTATGATCAATCACTAGCCTTAATCAGGTCACGAAGCCCCGTCCTTCAGCTGTCAATCCAGTTGAATCAAAGAGCAAGAGACATCCGCGTAATTTTTCGCTCATTCTAATGAATGTGGAGTCATGACGAGATCTAATTTATTTAGGCCAGCGTTCGGTTGGAAGGTGATCTCTTGATGGCGCTTGAACTGCTTTTATATGAGATGCCTCTGCGACAAATACGTCGTTTATGAGTCCATTTGTAGTCATCCTACGACTAGAGGACCTTCTGACAGCAGCCGATCCAAGCCACCCGAAAAGGGACGAGAGGGTCCATAAAGGCGTAAAAGTGGATGTGAAAAGCCTGCAATTAATTTAGGCCATCTTCGTTTTTCATTGTAATAATAGCACAAAAACCAAGGACTCAGCACTTCGTTTAACCACTCTCTTCTCCAACCACTCTTTCTACACTGCGGTTGAGAGTAATCACTTTGCCTTTTTCTTGTTTTTTCACTCAAGTTTTTGTAGCCCTCAAGTAATTTGTGCTATCAGACGTAAAGTGCCTCAGACCACCAGAAAATCTTGAGGAGAAGGTGAAGTAGGTTGGTACGAAATTAATGAGCAAGTTGCGAGTTCTCACTTTGACATACTTATTATTCTAGAAAAATTCACACTTTTCAACGAAATAAAAACCATCCAAAGCGGCTAAGCTTTTGCAATACAGCACATATCCATTTGTGCTAACGAGCAGAAAACATGGGATACACAAAAACAGTTTTTTTTCAAGACCTCGTTCTCGACAAACATAACTTTCTTTGAAGTTTGTTAGCCTTATACATACAAGATGAACAAGGTTTTGGCGATTGCGTTCTTCAAAAAAAAAATTATGAGCCACAGAGTGACCAAAACGACCAGCCATGTTGAGGCGCCGATATCTCAATTAGGATACTTTCTAAGAACATAGCAAATTGTACATGATGTAGTCATTTTCCATTGCACACAGTAACTAAATTTCCTAAAACACCTTCATTCGCGCTCGAATTCTAGCCGGAAAGCAATTGCAATGAGATTCCTTTTCGACTGCAGTTGTTTAAGGCTTGTAAACGAATGAGGCTAGAAACCTGTTCTAACAATGATTAAATAAAGCATGAAAGAGCTTCTTAGTTTGTCAATCCTTCTCCAAAGAGGAAAGTTTGATGGACTAAAGTTGTCCTGAAATAAGGTCTTGGAGAACGCTCATTATTCCTACATCAACCTAGCATAAGGGAATGGAAGAAATTAGGTGGAAGCATGGTCTTCTTGCAGTTCAGAAAATGGTGTTTTGCATACGCATTAACAGCGCATTTACCATTGCTCTGTGTTGAGGTAACGATGGATATTTAGAACGATAAACCTCGAATACCAAGAGACCAGTGTACTGAATGCTGCCACGCGGGCTTACTCTTGATGTTGCGTATACCTCAACTCAAACTTGGGTAATTAAACCGTTTATGAAGTAGTTATAAGAGAAAAAACCGACGAAATAACAAACACAAAATAATATGAAGCTAAACTACATAACAAATATGAATTGAGTGAAAAGTGCTGAATGATACACGGGAAACTGATGCAAAGGATACACGAGGCACACAAACTGCTATAATACTTGTTTATCCTTTTCTGGTTAATACTTGAATTTTATACTTGACTTTTATGCTAATTTTGTAGGATTGTTTTCTCAAAAGATGGACAAAAAAGAATGTAAAAAAGTATTCAAATTCAACTCAGTAAATATGAGTCTACTGTAACACGGGTTTATATACATTGACAAAAGATGTCACAGGAAGATATGATAGAAAAAATGCAAATATGAAAAGCAACAAGAGTGATGATGCAGCTGCGCTTGACGTCTCTCGAAGTTATCTCGATCATCATCTTTTGCGATGCTGAGAAACTGACACGCAAAGCATTTTTTCTAAAATAAACATAACACAAAACAGGAGTTCAGCTCAATAATTACTTGTGTATCGTGGAGTAATTTCTTGTGTATAGTGAGTCGTTGCACGACACTGCCGCCGACTTGGTGGTTTTGGCGTCAGTTTATTTTCTGTGCTTGGATCATAGTCGGTGTTACTCTTTTGGTCGAACTTGTTTCGGTGATTCTGTTGTCCCCTCAATTGCTCGATCTCCTGCTCGAGTTCCCGACATTTGTTCCTTGCATCCAAGAGCATTTGTCAAAAACCGGCTTTTGCATTGGGCCCACTGCGAAGAGCTTTATGGTGCTTTCTTTGCCGCGGGCCACAAATTATCAGCTATCGTGCCGCATACTATCGCAGTAGAAGCGGGGCTTTTGTGGAAAACGACATCTCCCTGGAGGACAATGTTGTAAACATCTCACGCATCGACCTTGTATTCGGGCTATGTTGAAGCTTTCGTCCTCATCGGTTACTTCGGGGCAAGTGCGATTCATGCTTGTTCGTTTGGTGGCAAGAAGTACAAGTGATACCTATAAGTTTTCCGTTTCACATCTCCCAGTCCTTGGTTGAGCGAAATCCGTGGCAATTTCTCTAGTTCGTCAAGCTCCTCACTGAGCTGTCGTCGTCGGGTTGACTTGTGTCGTAACTCTTCTTCGACCTGTGCTTCTTTTACGGGTGGCTCTTCTAGTCCCGCACCCTCTCCTGCTCTCTTAGCGAGCACCACTAACGGCTCTCTGTCCTCCACGAGTTCGACTTCCCGCTACATCGAGTTGTTGTACGCCTGTATTCTGCACCGCTTTTTGGTCGCCGGATTGAATAAGGATTTCGTCACTGATATCAGCTTCCGATTCAGCAATTTTAGCTTTGATTTCAAAAAGCATTTTGTTTATACCTCTCAGCCTTCGTTGTAGCCGACTTATCTTGCCATCGTATGAATGTAGTTGTCGATCTTTGCTGAGCCGCTTTTTGTAAAGATTTTCGGAAATTTCTGCCTCTCTCTCCAACTTGTTGATAAATGACATCTGCTTCCTGTGAAACCGTATTTCCCCAAGAACCGCTCATTGAGCCATTCTTGATCCGTTTTTTTGGGTAATTTTCGAGTCATTTGACGAGAAGAATATAGCGAGTACTCTACTGCTCCAGAAGTTTCCGTTGATCTCTTATGCTTGGTAACATTAACTGAATCTTTTCTAGTCTGCCGTATAGCTTATCGACTAACTGTTCATTATCTCCATATTTAGTTTTCAGAAAATTTATGGCCTTGGCATAGTCGTCTTGTGACACTCTGAACTTTTTTCCGCTTGTAGAGGTTCACCCCTGAGAGCTTTAAGCAAGTAATCAAACTTGTATAGCTCCGGTAGAGGCTGTGAGTTCACATTTGTGTCAAAAAGTGCCCAAAAGTTATCCCAATCCCATAAGTCTCCATGAAAAACTGGAATCGAAACTGTTGGCAATTCCATTTCTTGATCCCTATCGCGCTCTCTGTGATTTCGTTACTTGTATTATTTTCTGTGTTCGCGACTCGGGTGTGTGTAGGAAATGAATGCGTTTGTTCTAGCTTTTAGAATAACTATATAGTACTATACAGGGTGTCCCAGAAGTAAGTACACACTTTTCAATCGTTAATATCTCTCTTACCATTGTGTCTTTTTCCGCCATTTGAGCACCTTTCTGTAGTGGAGGCTTCAACTTAGATATACACTGTCAAGCGAGTTACCAACCTCTCTTCATTACTGTAGGATTCCTGTAGGAACTTGGACAAGGATTTTAGGCCATTGGAAGCCGTATTCTGCCTCGGAACAAAACCGAACAAGCCAAAATCTCCCCCGTACTATGGTAATGGAAGCCGGTGATTTCGAATATGAAATTTCCGCTTTACTATGACGCTTCTTTCCAAAGTTATCCCAGGTAAACAGTAATGACCGAATTCCCAGTTTCGTCAAAAATGTGATTACACGGTCAAAAAAGCTGAAAACACTCGTAAAAAGTTGTGTAGTGGAATCAGCGTGTGCGAAGACCCTAGTACACGATTTTTCAGATTTGTTGAAAAAGATTTTGTCAGATGGCATATCTCACAATGGTTCCACATGGTGGAAGTTCTTACCGTGATCCTACAGTAACGAAGAGAGATCGGTGATTCAATCGATACCGTAAATCTAAGTTGAAGCGTCTTCTACAGAATGGTACTTGACTGGGAGAAAAAGACCCATTGGGAAGAGAGGTATTGACGATTGAAAAGTGTGTACTTACTTTTGGGACACCTTGTATAGTCTAGAGAAGCACAAAGTACCGTTTCCGCTTTACTTGTATATTCTTCAGAATCCTCGCTTCCTTTTTCACTCAATGATTCACACTTGTCTATTGCTAGCGCATAATTTTGAAAAAGTTCTCGTATTTTGGTGTTACAGGTTTCAATTGCCCTATTCCTTCTTCTAGTCTTCGATGACTCTCCCTTATGATGTGCGGCGATGTCTCTTGGTCAGGAAGTTTGATGGTTTCTAGCTGTTCGGACTTAAATCGTGCAATCACGGTCTCTAATTTCGTGCAGTG